GCACGGCTGTGTGGGTCTCCCTTTCTGATGCTCTGGGAGGCGAGCACCCCCGAATGCTCCTTCTCTCTCAAGGAGTGGGCTTCCCCCCTTTCCTTTGCACATAAAAGCAATGATTATTTCTAATCTATAATTAGACTGGAGGAAAGGCAAAGGGTGACTCCATATATTGTAGAAATGGCGGGGCCGTCAGGAAGTTGCAGGTCTCGGGGCCGTGGACAGCCATCAGCACCGTCAGGATCACTGTCTGCGGCGTGCGGTGCTTCCACCCCGGCCAGGGATTTATGGGGAACTGGCAATTGTGACATATGTCCGGCTATTGCTGGCTTCAGATTTATCCCTGTGGTCCTTTTCTGTCTAGCATATTGCCAGAGCACAAACCAGGCAGGGGGACCACTTACTCTTGCAAAGCTTTAATAATCTGCGAATGGCTGACGACCAGCTGATGTAGAGCGCCATCGTTCCACCAGCCTCCCGAAAATTGCCGGCCACAAATAGTAATTAATCTTTTTATCCCTCAAATTGTAATTTTGACTATGAACTGTGCGGGGCCATAAATCAGCGGCCCGCGCGCCGCGTACAGTGCATGAATCACGGCCGGGACTCCGTCCGACGGCTCGCTCTGTGTTTAACAAGCTTTATAAGGAGTCATTGGGCTTTGTTATGGCTCTGCCTGACTCCAACCGGCTCGGAGCCCGCGGGCCCGGGGACGCGGGTGAAGATGGAAATACTTATTAGAGTACATTACTTCCCGATGTAGATAGCGTTTTCCGTGGAGTCACGCCAGGGGTGCGTGGCGCGACATAAATCACCGAGTTTTCCGAGACTAATAAGACGGGCCGCCACCGACGCGTCACACGGCCCACCATTTGGGCTGTCGCTCGCTAGTCAGCACGTAATCTGACGATTAACACCACCCCACACGGCGGGTCTGCCAGCGACACGCTGGAGGAAGAAGGGGAGAGGCCGCCTCTGAAAAGTGCTCCCCGAAATAACTGGCCACCCTTATCCTCCAGCGCTCGGGCCACCGCGCGGACACCCACGGCGGGCCTGGTCAGCGACACCGGAAGCCGCGGCGGGCACTCAATAAGCGGCCCGCACGTTGAGGCCGCGATACGATTTGACATTCCATCATCCATCCCGGAGACAAAGGTCCGCACAGGAATGTGAAGTAAGACATTTTCTTGTTAATAAAGCATTGATCCGACATATTGATTTTACATGACATGGCTTTTGCTGCGATTTCGCCCTCTTTTTTCCCTTTGCAAATCGTAAAGCTCTTCCCAGTGCCCGGGCATGGGTGACACGGCGGAATTTCTAACTCTCTGTGATGTAAATTCTATACGTGCAAAACCACTTCATAATCAAACCATTAATCATCAGAAGCTGTCAGCAGTGACTTGGGGGACAATTTGTCATGTCTCTGCCGGGCCGGGACACGGGCGTCGGGCGGGAGTGTGGCGCGGGCCGCCGGGTGGATGGGCCTCACCCCGAGACTGGCCCAGACAGGAGGAGATAAAGTATTACGTTTCTTGATTAGGGAACAAAAAAGGCGGCCCACTGTGCCTTTCCCTCGTGTCAGGGCTGCTTCTCTCCCCCAGCTAATCACCATGACTGTTTGACTTAATGAATCGGCCTGATGAAAGGTGATCAGAAAAGATAGATGGGCGGCCGCTATTGATTTCATGCAAATGCGCTGACAGGTGATCGACGCTTTAATGCAGCTTTCAGAAGCCTTATGACTTGGAATAACCGCACACTCTCATTCCGGGAGGACACTGCCCGTGTTCAGTTCAAGGGACGCTCTTCTCCTCGCACCAACATTTCAAAGCAGGATAAATGGGGGGGCCCCTGGCTCCCCTCGCTTCAGCCCAGAGAGCGTTGACATCTCGCAGGCACTGCCCAGAGGGAGCGGGGCACCGGGGCGGGCTGCTGGGAAGATGACGTCATTGAACCCCGCGGCCTCTGCCACACCGGGTGGGGGCGGGGAGGCTGTGGAAGCAGCGTGGCTGCGGGAAGCCCCAGGAATTTACATGGAAGGATGAGAAAAAATTGCCCTTGTCTTGGAACTGCAGAAGCGACACACATCCTGGCTCTGGGAGGTGCTGGATCACTGAGGGGGGGCGGGTGCTCCAAGCTGCCCCGAGAGCAGCACAGCCCACTGACCACCTTCTGAGGACCGCACAGAACCCACCGCCCCGCACCCGGGGGCGCCGCCGAGATCTCCCCGGCAAATTCTCCAACGGGAGGAGAAAAGCCGAAGACCCTTCGCACACGTCTCATAAATCCTCGGCCCGTGGCGTTTACAAGGCGAGGCCCAGCCGGGCAGGGCAAGGCTCTGGCACGTCCAGTCGCCGAGCCCCGAGCCAGGCCAATCAATACCACTTTCCTGTTTTAGAACTGGGTAATTATGAGGGGGAGAGATTGCCTGACCTTTCACCTGCACTGCATTACTTTGCTGATATTAAGATAAATTGCCTGATTTTGGGTAAACATATGCTGCAATTCAGACTGTCAGCACTGGTTTGCTCAGGGATAATTTGTATTGATCTCCCCGCTTCTTCCCAATTCTGCTTACTGACCTCGTGGATAATTAGAGAAGGAGCCGTGGGTGAGCTCAAGGCGGGGAGGAGGAAGAAATATGAAGAAGAATAAAGCAAATTTGTTTTATGTTAATATTAGGAGGTCCTCCTCCCGCCCTCACATCTGTCAGCATCAGGAGAGCCGTAAATTAATGTACTTGGGTCCTGAGCAATTTATTCCAAGGAATTATTTAGCAGCGTGCTTCGTCCTGAACATGTGTCGCTGGTTAAATTAATTTAAACTCTGCCTTAAACACAACAAACACAAATGTCATTTTCTGCTGGAGAAAAAAACAACAAAAAAAACACAAGACATTTCTCAAAATGCATGCTAAGCTTCCAGCTTTTCGGCATGGGTGTCCACAGACGCGCATCTGAGCCAATGAGCTTCCTAATAAACTCCCCCCTAAGTAATTAGTGCCCCTGATTTGTTCTGAATTCAAGTCTCGCTATGAGGGGCTGCTGCGTATAAAAGAGATGAATGTGGCACCAAATTATATCATTTAAGATGTGTCAGATTATAAGGCTGTTGTATCAAAAGTCATAAAACAAATCTCCCCTGTGAAATATCTCTTTATTAACCGTGCCATAAGATATTAACATTCCTCATTTAGTGGAGAGCCTTTTATCTGTGTTTCAGATACATTATTCGCCCTTTCAGAGATAAACTGTATTAATATCCATTTGAGTAGGCTACCGCGGCCTAATGCATAGTAATTTTTGTTGGAGAGCTTTTATTTTAGAATAAGAAAATTACACAGCAATAAAACCTGAATGAATCAGAAGCCAGAATAGCCGGGAATCACACTCGCTGCCAAATGGGGCCGGCGCTCAGGCAGCCTGCGAGGCCAGATATCCGGCTATCACAGGCAGGCCAGCCTCCAGGGCCGGTCACACAAATGCCGCCTGACACGGCCACAGAGACCCACTGATTCCCGCGCCGAGACCGCCCCCCCGCTCGGGAGGCTCGTACTTAAAGACATCTGACTGTACTGGAGGAAATCTCGTTACTTCACATGCATTAACATCATCACAGGAGCAGCACCCTAAATATTTAAGTCATGCCCGTGTGCTGGGGACTAATCCTACCCCAGTGGGTGAAATGTGAACAGTCTGTGGTGTCCGTTCACCTTGGGACCCCCAGGCTCTGAGCTCAGCTGCAGCCGGTATGCCCGCCGCCCTGAGAAACCTACCAACGGCCCGGCCCCCCGGCCGCCCGGCCCCCAGTCCGAGCAACACTGTTCCTGGTGACATCCATAGTTTCCGTGTTTGTTCTGATGCCCGGCCCTGCCATCTGAGGTCATTTCGAACACTCCAAAATGTAGATAATGATTTTATCAGACTCGAATATCCAGTTCCAAGAACAGAGAAATCTGATTCAATTAAGCAAGGGGCACGTTGGGGGCCTCCGGGTATATGACATGGAAACAACATTTCTGATTAGAAAACACGTATGTTTGGGGCCAGCGAGTGTTTTCTACAAGGAGCAACTCTCCTGGAAGGGAAATGGCCAGACGAACAGTCTTCAATCCAGTCCATTCACCGACGTTCATGAAGCAGCTACTACACGCTGGGGCTCCGGGTGGGAAACCCGCCCCCCCAGGGGCCCTGCTGCTGCTGCTATAGCATCAGTGGGCTACATGCTGGGTCTCTGCCCGAACCCAGGCCAGCGGGTGCCCTGCCCACAGTGGGGCCTGGACCCCAGCAGGAAGGAGGGATCACGGTTGCAAAGCTGAGTTGTGTCGGCAACCTCCCGACCAGGCCTGCCTGGGGACCTGGAGCGCAGCCCAGCGGCGAGCCGTGCCACCCTCTAAGTGCTCCTGAGTAATTGCTGCCACAGCCACAGTTGTGTCTTTAAACAGCGCCATTCCCTGGGCAAGCGGGGGGGGGGGGGGGTGCTGGCAGGTAGAGAACCAGTGTTCCCAGCGCCGCCTGCCCTGGCTCCAACCAGCCAGCGGGAGCTACGAGGAGTTTTCGGCTTCGCAGGAGTTTTCCTTCTGCCTGGAACCCTGACTACAACAATAAAAACAGGAAGGCATTCATTTGCTGCATCCCAGCTGCTGGTTGCTGCTATTAAACGAGTTCCCGTTTCATTGCAATAATGATCATCTTCCTGTAACTTCCCAATCATGCATTTGTCATAATGCAGTAATTTTCTAGCTCCAAACAGACCCTCATAATGAGGCCGTTTTTCACATTAGCAGCATAACTACATAATCAGAACATCTGCAGGTCCTTTTCCAAGGGACAAGGACGCGCGTCAATTACGGCGACGGGGATTGTTAAATAAGATATAGTGTGTTTTCCGAACAGGGGACCCAGGCCCTGCCCCAGCAGACTGCACGCCTT